TTGGGTTATCTCACTTTATATGTAAATGTTATAAAGTAAATTAGCCATGTTACGTTATTCTCAAAGCACATAACATGAAAACTATTTTCTTTACGTTCCTTAATTTTACGATATCAAAATTTAAAAAAGATAGCTTCTATAAATCATCTTTAATAGGAAGATACATTTTTATTATACGAAATATGAATAGACCGTGTATTTTCGTAAGATTTCTTTGAATAATTTTACAATGGGATTACTTTGGAAAGGTTACAACATTTAATTGAAATGGCTTAGTTAGCTACCTACAGTTTGCAAGTTTTTTTTTACATATTAAAAATATTCCAGTTAATAATAAACATTTTAATTTCTCAATTTGGATTTAAATCCTCTTATACCTGTAAATGCTATCCCCTATTTTTGATATGACAGATAAATACTGTTTAATATATAGCAGAAGCATTTTACATTTGTGTATGTTTTAGTTTGTCAGTTGGAAAAAAATCGAAACTACATCTTTTAGTAAAATCTAAAAACATATGAACATCTATTTGGGTTTTTCTGGTAGTTTTCTAAATGAATGTACCTGTAAATTTGTTTGTTGCAGTTTACATTAGCCATTGATATTAGTAAGTAAAGATAGGGACAATAATACGACAAAATATTTCTAATTCATTCATGACTAGACATTGAGAAGACTAAACTTTAATAAATTCATGGACAAAAAATTAGCCTGAATTTATTTCAAAGAAAACGGTAAGTGCTTTTTTAAATTTGTATTTCATATCTTTTAATACACTGTTGTAACATGTTTCAACACAGCTTCATAAAAGGAAGTGTCAAAATCCCGACGAATCAAAAATGTCCCTAATTTCATTGAAACAATTTGGTGCCAGAACTTTCAAGAAAAATTTAACTATTAATTCAGAATAATGTAAAGCAATGCTTAGTACCAATATTCCTTTTAAAACTTTACAAGACCTTTGTTTCAAAGCGTTTTTAAAAAAATATTGTAAAAGTGTTATATCGGACAAAAGTACGCTAAGAAAAAATTATGTACCTACCAGATATTTACAATGAAACTATTTCTAGTATTAAAGAAATAGTAAAAAAACGATTTATAAATTTTGCACTGGTGGGTGATTTAAATGATAAAGGGTCTAGTAAATCTTATTTAATTAGGAATATTTAGTTAGCAAAAATCAACCGTCTGGCCGTATTTCTTAATGAATCTTTCATGAATTTCTTTCTTCCTAATGTTATTCCTATACAGAAGATTTTAGTTATGTTGTCCGGTTGATTATCCCAATTTGATTCACGTTACATGTTTGGCACACAGATTAAATGAATTTACTGAAACAATTATGTTAAAAAAGTATTTGTAAACTCAGCGTTGAGGGTGCAAATATATAAAGAAAAGTACTCCACTGGCACTTGAACCCGTTATTAATCGATGGGGTATTTGGTTAAACATAGCAATTGTTAATGCGGAACATTTCGAACAAATAAAAAATTAGATTTTTTAATTTTCAAATGCGAACTGCAGTACCATCGCAATATGTCCTCAAATTTTCAAAAAACATTGTTTGCTAAACGAATTAGCATTTATTAAAGCTAATTTTCAATTTGTTTCGGCGACGATTAAAAAAAATAGATACACAATGCACGCCCTCAATTGAATCTGTACAATTGATTGAAGATTTTCAAACCAATATTTTTAAGGCCCGTGGCTACGTTTTTTACATGGAATTTTCGCTACATTTTCAGAATGTAATAGCTCCATTATTAACAGACTTATTATTGTGAAATTTTAAATATAAGCTGTCCATAAATTTCTTTGTATAGCGCAAGGTTAGAAATAGTTTTAATTTTTGTGAAATTTTTGCACAACGTATTTTTAAAAATAAATATCTCAGTTATTGAAGGAAATTTCGGAAGACGCTTTTCAACACTGTACAGTTTACAAAACTCCAGAAATGGTGCCAGATACATCGTCAATTTTTGTATTAATAATAATAATAATAATATAATATCTTTATTGTCCAACAGGGTGGCCCTAATGACAGGACAATAAATTTATTAAAAACGATACACAATAAAAAAAAAAAGCTTGTGTCGTAGAAGCTGCTAAACCATTATTTTTACTCTATCTCAGTTCCAACAAACAAAGTCGAAAATAGATCTGTTTTAGATTCCTAAAGTTTTGGAAGCTGAAAACAGTGGTGAAAACCGCGTTGCAAAATTTCCATAAATAATTGAAATATTGATTGTTTAAAATATGTGGTCCAAAATTTCAACAAAATTTAAAATATATATGATAATAAATTGTTTCCAATTGTTTAGGTTCGAACATTTTTAATGCGCTAAAATACACACCAATTGCATCAGTTTGTAGAAGGAAGTTTTTTTTTCATACAAAATGTTATTGACAGATGGAAGACAGAATTTTTACAATGGAAAATTTGGAAAACTATCTGACTGTTGATTGTAACAGCAAAAAAAAAGTTAGTTCATGGCGTATTTATACTTTGTGTAAAAATATGTTATTATAGGTAATAAATGTAATTATGTATAGACATTTCTCGTGTTTTTTGTTTGTAGTTTGTTGTTTTCTTTTCGGCTCGCCGGAAGTAAATTGTATATGTGCATAAAACTGTGCTTACTTATTTAGCAAAAATTTTGCATATTTGGAAGAAATTCTGGGGATATATATGCGCATATCACCTTGAATCAATTTACCATACCCCCGTCATTGACAACGTAAACGAATTAAGGCGAAGGATTACTGTCAAAATTAACGAAATCATCGCAAATTCTTACATCGTACAAGATATTATTCACGCAGCTAAACGACGAAGTCAAATGTGCTTGGAACAAAATGAACAAAATTTTCAGCATTTACTGTAGCACGTTAATAGTATATTAAAGAACGAGTTTCATAAGGCAAATATTAAGGCACGAATCCAAGTTTATAGAACGAGCGGCGAAGCTGCCAGTTATATAAAGGATGAGTGCCACAATGGCCTTATAAACGAGTTATTTACACTATTTTTCCTACCACGCACGTTTTTTCGCAAAATTTTATTGAAATTTGAGTTTTTTTAAATCCGGGGACACTTTATCGTGGTTGGAGATGGGTTGGCATGACACGAACCACGAGACGTTTGAAGTTCGAATTTTCACAACAACAATTGTAATTCGAATCAATTCGAGTTTTTGTAAGTTAAAATTGGTTAAAATGTTTTGTGAAGAAGTTAGTGGAGTCCATACGCCTCCCGAAATACAGGAAATTGCACAGAATAGTATATAAAATTTATTGCCAAACAAATCTCGTTAACTTTATTTGACGTTTATTTACATTATTTAATTTGACACTTGCTACTAACATTTCTCGTCATGGTCACCAATCTTACCGATTTAAATTACACCAGATCTATTTCAGAACCCCTTTCCGCTATTAACGAACCGCTTTGACGTCATTTGGGTGCTTTAATAGCTCTGTTACAAAATCATTGTAGAAAATAGTATAATATGATACGAGGTTTATAAAAAGCATTTTGTCGCACGCACGGTTTAGTAAGTGCGACAAAATGTCTTAGAAACGAGTATCATACAGTATTTTTTCTACTTTGCCCCTTTTTCATAAAAACACAGCAAATTCAAAATCTGATTATCTTCACGACAGTTGGCAGAACATACACAGGCGTTTGCGGATCGTAATAGACTTGTTAAAAAATCAAAGTAGGAAAAATAAATTTCCTCAAACATTACATTTTTATTTGGTTGTTCTGAATCGTGTAAAAAAATTAATAAAGAAGGGCTGTACAGAATCAATTTTTAGAACTTTTCGCGAAGTTAGAATTAATCGATATCCAGAGTAAAAGCATTTTTATTTGGTAACATCCTCGGTGTTCACAGGATAAAAGGGCAAACTCTAGCAGTTTTAAAGGTGGTAGGTAATGAATTTATTCATGCCCCGTTGGAAGTTCTGGTTTGTGAAATTTGAATTTAATCACTCTGTTGTGGATGCGAGAATTTACTAAGAAACTCTCCATAAATGAACGCTTATAAATAGACATAGGACACGGAAGAATATCATTAGTATAACACTAAACTGAAAGTCTCTAGGACTAGCTAGGGTCCACAACCTCTGCGCTTCGTTGGAATGCAGTCACGCTCGTTTATTGGAACATGTGTTAAAACTGCACTAATTCAACTTAGTACAAGAAAAAATATAAATTGTAATTTATTATGTATTCAGTTGTTAAGAACAGTCACCTGTGGACAAGCCAGAAAAGAAACAAAAACATAGATTACACTTTTATGGACCATTAAAAAATAATAACAATTAAGTGTTTCGTACATTCACGATTGTAAGAGACTGATCTGAAACTTTCCTGCTCTTTAAGTAAGTACTTATTTCTGCAAGTTTTATAGCTTTTTTATTCAAACTTATGACAACACATTTTGGAAGCCTTCCAGATGCCATTGTCTTTAGTACTGTATTAAATTCATTCAACATCAGATACATCGACACGCAGGGTTTTAGTTTTTCAGTTTAAAGTTTCTTGGATCACAACCATAACTTACCACACCTCTCATGAAACGATTATTTACTTATAAAGGGAGTAAAGGACAGAGGTTAAGTAATTTTTCTGTAATCAAAAATTCTGTGATCAGCAAGTGAGTTACGAAAATAAGATAAAAATATGCACATTCATAATTACAAACATTATAAAGGTTAATGCGTCGCCTCAATTAGTAACATAAATAACAGAAAACAAAATTTTATAAGACTCATCATTTTTCACCATCGTGTTTTAACGTTCTTGATTGCTTTATTGGTGACAAACTGTTTAAATTTATAATTATTTTAAATATATAAAAACTATATGTAGACTATTTTATAATAAATATTACAACAAGCAAACATACGTTAAATAATAATTAAAGCAAAGTGGATAGCATGAATAACTTAGTATCCCCAAAGGGGAAAACAAATATCGTTTTAAGAAAATTACCTTAACGTAAGCGGCTGTGTGGGGTATCAGCTGGGTACTAGCAGTGGGCCTTAGAAAAAGGGCATAAAATCCCGCTAACCCGAACAGCTCGCATCTGAGGGTGAACAGCCGCCGTCCTCCAAATCCCCGGACCTGATCCAGCACCTACACAACATTGTCATCAATACAACATGCAAGCCACAACCCGCCACCCACCTGAACATTGGAACTGTTCTGTCTGTTGTCGTCGTTATCACAGGTGAGTAAGGAATGGCCGCAATAGTGCAACTCCAGCCAAAACTCCGGTATCGCAGTCGCCGGACTCTCCACCAGTGGAGGACACATCACTTCCGGGAACTCCAGTATCGCCATAACGGGTCGTTCCGGGTAAGTTTGAATGTGTTCCGGGGTAAGCGAAAGTTGAGGCATCGGCCACCGTACATCCAAGCTTCGTGTAATCACGGAGTTCTGGTCGTCTGAAGAGGTGTTACCCATTGGTTGTTTCTTGAGGAGGATGTAATACTGGCCACCTTTATCAAGCATGATTGTTATTAAACATTGAACACAAACTAGAAGCACGTCTGAAACTACATTAAACTAATTAATGTTTTAGTGTTGCACATGCAATGGTAACGTCTGAAATTTTGAAGTTGTCTGCTGAAACTTTACAACATCGGCTTTACACTAGACGTAACATCACTTACAATTGCTCCACAAACAAAGTTATCTTATAGAAAACAAGAACATAGCCGTAGTGGAGTGTACAAGAAAGTAAAAAAGTAAGAAGTTGGGATCGAAGTTGACACCAAATAATTGTTTAAAATGAACTTAAATACTAGATATCTGTATAAATATATTAATAATATAAAAATTTAGCATTGCAGCATTAACACTTCTGAAAACACTAAATTACTTATATTTGAAAAATGGTCATGTTTTAACAATCACTATAGTTAATGATAATTATACTTATTATTATAATTGCGGAAAATATAACTTTGTTCCGAAAAGGCGCTATTTTATTCCCAGTTTCATAAATTTGATTTAGTGACCTCTATTTTATGACCTCTAGAAATGGTAAAATAAACAAGGGGTGAGTTATTAAGCTACAAAGTAAAGGATTATATTATGCTGTGTTTTCAATAGAGCTTTTTTTTGAATTTTTTTGATGAAGTCATCAACTTCGTAAAGGGAACAAATATAAAAAAGTTTTAATATTTAAATACAACGCTTATGAAAACAGTAGGATGTTGATAATAATTAGTAAAATAAATTCACTATTTTTTATGGACGTGTTATATAAAGAATTCTAAATAAAAATGAATAAGTTATAAAATTCTACATATTATAATGGCAATTTACGTCTGAGAAATTTGCATGGCGTCGTTCAGTTTTTGGAATAAATTAACATAAGTATAGCTGGATAAATAAGTGCCAGGAGTAGAAAGATTTTTATTAGACCGATAATAATCTTCGAAATTACTGGACCGATTTTTCCCAAATTTTATATGAACTCGTTAGGAATATCGTGTATATGGTAAAACGCTAACTAATATTTAGGTAATCATCCCCACCAACAGTTTGATGACGTCGCCTCAAAATCTGTTTCAGTAAACGAAATTTAATTTGTTTTGTGTAAAATACTTTTATACCTCTGGTTTATGATTCCGTGTTGATTTTTTTACCCTAGGTATCCAGATATATGTAAAAATAAATCCAAATTGCATCATCATCAATGTCTGGTAAATTCGATGGTCGTACGATAAAAATATTGAATGACTATAACGCAAAATGTTATTGATTCAGTTGACCGATTTTTTTATTGATCAATGTGAAAATATGAAGAAGGGTGCTACGGATATGTGTAAAATGAGCTTATTCTTTACAAAATTATCATCATTTTTGCAAGGACATGGATATCAGTTTGGATAGGTGCAGTGTAATACTAATAATAACAGTATTGTATTCCCAAATTTTCGGGAAAACCAGGATCCCTTCCTGGTTTAATCAATAAAATAAATTGACACATTCGTTAATTTTTTTTGAGTCACCCGGGATAAATAATTCTTAAAAATACAAATTCAATCATAAATAACAAGTATAGACTCAACATATTTTGCTGCAATTTCGATAAGATTTATTCGGTAAAATTTTGAGATGACGTCATCAGTTTTTTGGATGGGATCAAAACATATATTTTGATTACAAATTTACCATGCTTACGATAACTTTACAAACATCTGCAAGAATTCAAAGCATTCCGTTTTGTAGTTCATGATTTAATAAATAAAATAAATTGACACTCTGATTAATTTCAGTCACCCTGTATAAGCAATTCTAAGAAATATGAATGGAATGATAACAAGTATAGGCTCATCATATTTTGCATATTTTAAGTAGAATTTATTTGACAAAATTTTTTTGGGAACGAATAAAACAATCAATTTTTATTAACGATTTACCAACATTATGATAATCTTAAAAAGTTTGGAAAATTTCGGAGCATTCGGTTTTGCAGTTTCAAAGTTAAATTGTAAAATGTTATACAATTTTGATTTTTTTTTTTCAAAAATCTGGATGTCTAGGGTGAAAAAAAATACTATTGTAAATCTTGGAGATGACGTCATCCCATTGGTTGTGCGGATGATATGCCAGTTTTGGTGAACGTTTTACCATCTACATGATATACCTGATTTACACAAAATTTTACAACAATTGGTCCAGTAGCTTCGGATATTATCTGTCTAGTAAAAATCCGGAAACGGCAGACAGACAGACAGACGGAAACGAGAGACCTCGCTCTTGGTACTCTAGGGGTCATGAAAGGTCGCAAAAACATAAAAGTAGGGAATTGGCCGATGGACTCGATTACAATACATTCTTAGCTTACGCTCAGGAAATAAAAACACGATCAAATGTAGCCATGGAACATAGAATTTTCTTATCTTTGATCGTTTTCAACTCAACTCAACCAAAATTTTCAATTTGGCGATAATCTGATGAGACAAAAATCCTATCAAAGGCAAATGTCCAAAAATCCATGGTTGTCTTTGATCTTCGTTTTATTGCTCTCTCGGTATAAGAATAACATTCTTATACACTTAATTCTATTTTTCATTATTTAAATCAAATACTTGTCCCATTACAATGAATATTTACAGCAGAGTTTATGGGCTAATAATTTTATTATTGTTTTCCTGCATATATTTTCATTCTGCCTTTTTATAATTAGTCGCTACATTTAATAACCTATTTTAATTTAATACTAATTTGTGTTTAATAATAATATTAGTTCAAAATTTAATTTAAGTGATATACAACACTGTCTACGAAAACTTGCAATGTTAACGATCTTAAATTATATTATTATATTAATTTCTAATAAATCTTTAAAATGATGTCGACTTGTTGATTAATACCTACTAGGATATAAATTTTCGGAACAATTGCTGAACTAATAAGAATTGTGTTACGAGATTTGTGGAACCTAGATTTTATTTATCACTCATTGCATTACTTACAATACTCACACACAAATTTGACCTCTGTTTTTGAGTAAGTACGAGTGTTCAATTGAAAAAGTCATTAAGTTGGCGGTGTTTTTTTTAATAGAAAAAACCGTTGCGAACAATGTTCTTATTAATCCGTACTGTTGTGTATAATTTACATTTGACAGAGTTGTTGAAAAGCGTTAATTTTGTTAAAACGAAAAAGTAACGTTAGGTTGTACCATTCCGTGTTATCAATTGCCATCGAGTAGATTTTAAATTTAAATTAAACTTAATCGCGTGAGGTATTTTTATAAAGCCAGCTTAAAAAAGAGTTTACTGCACGTGTATCAAAATATGTTGCTGGAGAACAATTTCGGTAGAAATCATGGAAGCAGAGGAGTGAAGTATAGTGTACAGGTCCCATTGAATATTCATTTCTCATTCGTATAAACCTTGGCCTTCACCCACGTTTGATGCATCAAACTTTCATACTCATGAAGAGTGAACTCCTTGTTAATTTGAAAAAAATAAAAACTTAAAAGCAGTTCTTTGTTAGTTCCAAATATGATAACTGATAACCGCATAGAACTACACTCACTTGCAATAATCAAAATTAAGCAAAAAATAATTTCTGGCCAGGCAGATTACTCTCAGAAACATCTCGTCTTCATCAATGAATTAAGTTCATTTGAAAATTTTCTGCAACCCAGTTGGCATACTTACAAACGCAAATGAAAACTTATTTGCAATTTTTATCGTTTCATGTAAAATACGACTGAATTTGTATTTTTACTGAAGTTTAGGTAAGCTTGCTACGACACATTAGGGAATAAATTACGAATAAAGTAATAAAAATGTAGCAATCCTTCGTTGCGTAGTGAGTTTTGTTTCAGAAAACGAAATGTTTTCAGCTTACAAGTGTTCTGGACTTTTTAGAACTTCAGCCGATCAGAATGAAATTTAGTTGTGTAATTAGTATTACAAATTTGCTCTGCTACTTTTCATTCAGATTCGGGTCATTGTGAAACCGACAACAGTTTCACAAAGGCTTAATTGTTTTAGAAACATTTGTAATGTTGGTACCAGGTTTCCTACAACGTCAAATGAATAGCCCTAACATTTCCAAATAATTAAAAAAAAAACTTAAACAATGATCGCGATGAGATTTTCAATTTTTATTTTAAAATCATGAGCAACGTGCAAAAAATTACACTCCCTGTATAAAACATTGCAGCACGAGTGCTAAAAGCTTTTCGTGCTACAATAACGTCTTATTAAACTTGTTTGTGTAGTAATATACTACGAGATTTTACCGAGACAGCAATAGAAACTACGACCAAAGACAGTCATGGATTTTTGAAGATTTTTCTTTGACAAAATTTTCCTCTTGTCAGATTACCGTCAACTTAAAGTTTGAGTTGAATATGCAATGATCAAAGACTAACTTTCAAAAATTCATGTCTGCCGTTGATCGTGTTTTTTATTGCTCTCTTGTACAAATTCACCAAAAACGGTAGGGAAAATTCACGTGACATCAGTATCGAGTATGTCATTTGAACGAATAAGTTCTAATTACCGAATTACTGGAACATGACCGTAATCAGTGGGGTCGGCTGAATCGACTCTTTCCTATCGATTTTGATCTAAATGATCAAACTAGGTTGGTTATAGTTCAAACCGTCTCCGAAGCTTTCGCACGCAGTTCAGTAATTTTCATTAACACTCCTAACAGATCAAATACACATTGTGAGGCACCAAGGAATGGGTTCGTGGAAATTGAAAAGTGGAAAATTTTCATCTCACATTAATTAGCAAAAATTTTGTAAAGTTGAGGATACGGAATTAGGATCGGTTCAATTTGTTCATTTGGTAACATCGTATAATCATCACACATTAATAATAAAACAGTCAAAATTCGGAATGTGAGATACACCCACAATACACCTACGTCAATTTGTTATTTATGTCGATAAAGCCCCCAACGTACATATATTTGTATCAACGTTATAAATCCATAATTTAAGTTTAAATTGAATCTAGTGTCAAATGGAGCAGCAGACAATTTGCAATACTATAACTAAAATAATACGCCACAAGGGAAAGTTTTATGAGACTATTTTTAGATACTTGTTAGCACCTCTTTGAAAAATGTCCAGCTTTTGTGTAGAACTATTACCTGAAATGTGAACTGACACAAGCAAATGTTAAATTTTAATGCGAAGCCTCTCTGTCATGTTCCATCGGGAACAGATTTATAGCAGCTATATTTTACTAATGCACACTGTTGATCTTATATCTATGGCGTAAACTGTGGAACATAATAACCCTAATTGCGCTTTCTATGTCTCTTACCTTTGGAGAAGTAGCCACAAGGTATTTTAACTATAGTGGTGTTGAGAGTAAGCGCACGGGCTTCCGGGAGTACGGGGAAGGTGGTGAGGGGTTGCGCCACGTTGCCTTCGAGTCGAGATAATTGCAGCATTAGTGGTGGAAAAGACGATGAAGTAATTTGGATGTGGAGGTCTCCGCTTAAGGCGATGTGGGATGGAGGCATCGATAATTCTATTCCTGGGATGCTTCCTCCTGCAACGAAAACACAATGAGCTTTAAAGACTGATAAAAGCGACAAAATTGCATAAGCACTTATCAGATCCAATTTGCTAGTCTAGTAATTATAAATGTAGAAGCTTTTGGTGTGAGGATATTACAAGTTCAGTTGTAGCAAATTTGAACAATAAGCTCCATGTGGTGTCTACGGAGTGACTATGAGGCTTGAGGGGATAATTGTTACTACTGAGGGTTATTGCAGCGAAATTATTTTTGTAGGAAGTCGACAGAAAATCCAAAAATATTTATCTTGTCTTAGTGGTAAAACTTGGATTACATGAAAGTACATGGTTGCACTCACGTTTAAAAAATTCAAACGGAAATATTGCATCTTCAGAAACTGTTTATATTAATATAAATTTGTAGTGAATATTAGGTATTATTGTCTCATAACAATAACATGCAATTTTCAAATAAAATGGATACCTTAAGTAGTTTTTTTTCTATATTACAAATTATTTGACTTCTATTGAAATGGCAGTTTAAAAGAATTTGATGGTTCACTTGAAATAGAACAATATATGTCTGATATTTTGTTTCCTAGGGCAGGCGTTAGTTTTTTAATACAAAAATTTCAAAAATTTTAGTTTAAGCTTAGCAGTGACACACAACAATTGTTGATCTGCACCAGACACTATTTAGTAACTTACAAGTAACTAAAAAAAAACGACTATCCACAAATAAATGACGATTTTATTATTTTTGTGCGTTCATATTTTCAGTTCGTTTAATTATGTCGATGTATTGATTTAACCGTACTAAATTAAAGACCAGAGTGACAGTTATCCATTGTGAAAAGTAACTTCATACAGAATTTAAGAAAAAAATTCAAGGTCAAATTAAGTATATATATATATATATATACTTAATTTGACCTTGAATTTTGTTATATATATATATATATAGTCAAACAAGGTGTTTTTTTTTAATTGTTTTAGGTACTATTTATTTTTGTGACAAAGAAAAATTATAATCTTTGCAATGTCATTATGTACATTGTATATCTAGATAAACTATATTTAACCTTTGTGATGCCAAGTCAAAACCTAAATAAACAACTGGACGAATGTTAGTTAAGTTTTTTTTTGTCCAACCTACGAACTCTTGACTTTTAAGTTTGTCTCATTTGTCACTAGCTTTATTAATATCCTAAAAAAGAAATAATCACAAAAGATCTCATCACATCAACATGGTTCACCTTTTCATTTTCAATATCAAATAGCTATATACTCTTTTTGAGAACTTCAAAATTTTACATGTTTTACCTGTTGTTAATATCTACGACATTTATCTTAAATCAAGTAACAAATGAATCATTTTCTAAAGTTTATAGTCACTGTTAAAAAATTCATAAAGTTTTGAGTTAACGGTAATGATAACGAGAAAAGTGGCATATTAAATCTAAATTGATTTACCGTCGTGTACATAATTATGTATCAAAAATCTTAAATGACAACTTCACCGTGCCCCAGACGCAAAATTAATACTTTAAGAGAAAAATTATTATCCTATTTCATCTACTTCACTTAAATATAGCTTTACTGGCTTTATTTAAAGCTTTACTAAGCTCCATGTAAACAGCGTGCACATTATAACTCTGTAGGTACCTACGTTTACCATATTGCTCGATTTTTAGTAACGTCAGCAGCTTAAAGTAATGGCCACTAAATTTAGAACAGCGAAGTAAGGAGATTATTGTAATTCTTGACGTCAGACTTATATCAAGTGTTCTGAAGTATTATATTACTTGATCGAAAAAAGTCGTCTAGTAGGCCATGAAATTTATTGTTAAAATAGTAATGTTGGCATTGCAGATATCTGACACTTTATTTGACAATTATTTAAGCGCAAGTTCCTATACATATTACTACAGTGGCGGAAATTTAAAGTCGGGCACCAAGCTGACATTTTCATGACATTTTTATTACCCATTTTACCTTCATCAGTTCCACGGTGGTTGTGTATTCAATCAATTTACAAATTTGACGTTAAGAAATTTGACACTTAAATTCTGGTTTCTTAGGATTCTGAAACAATAATAAAGTCATATTTACAGTCGTCAAAAAATTCCGCGTGACTTTAAATTTCCTCCACTGTACAACGGACGCGGTGTTAGACGATATTTCTGGATAATATTATATTTAGAGAATATGATAAAAATTCTACATGTGCACAGAAAATTAGAAATATTAACTAATGTAGCAGTAGCAGATTTCGATTTATTTTTAGATATTCTGAAGTATTTTAATAACTTTTTGCAGGAATACTTACCTACACTCAAAGTGGGTAGAAACACGAATGATTTGATCATTGTTTATTAAAACTTTTAAAAAGTGTAAGTTTTGATTGTGTCAACTTTATTTTTTAGCAGAGAACTTTCTTAATAACTTTTTTTTCTAACGTCATTATTTTTGTGGGGTTAAATATATAAATTTTTTATGCAAATAGTGTCTCAAAAATATCGTTTTCCTAAAATTTCAGATAAAGTAAATAATTATTAAGAATTTTCTTTTTTTATTCGTTCTTTAGTTATTTTGTAGAAATAATTCCAAAAACTTCCAAGTAATAAAAATATATTACAAAAATATGTAGATACATAGAGTAGAAGAATTTTAATTATAGGATATTTTTAATACAGTCACATTTATGTAATATGTAGCTAATATTTCGACATCATCAAATTTCTGGAGAGTACAAACAGATAAAATTTAAATCGTAAGTTTTATTTTATACGATAACTGGTATATGTGTGATAATAACTGGTAAACGCAAACTTAAAAACACGCACATCATTAAATCACAGATAAACGCACGTGTTGCAGTGTACTTGTAAATTTCAAAGGAGGTTTAGTCGGAAAAATTCAAAATTTTGAGATGATTTCAAAATTTTGATGAGGATGCGTGGACAAATTTTGATGAACATTTATTTGACTAATAACACTATAATAAAATAAACCTGAAATTTCACAGCAATCAGTATAGTAGTTTTGGTGAATCTCTCCCAGATAAAATTACCAACAGACCATAAGCGACATAAAGATGGAAGCAGGAGACAAGTGTTTGATATTATTATGGGTACAAGGTATCAAACATCGAACAAACTAGTACTTAGGTTACGTTCAGAAATTAAAAATCTGTTACTATACATATAAGAGAAACTTATCAATAAATCTCAAGCTTTATTTATATTGGGAATTTTCAATTTTAACAACTCGTTATTACGATTGGTCTATGCAAAGTGGATTAATAATAATGGCATCAAGAACAATCAGCGTCCTAAAAGTTGAAAACTAAATATATTTTGTACCATAATGTTCCCCAATTTCAAAATATACATATAAAAAAAATCTGTTTTAATACTAATAACGACGCCTTAAATATAATAAAATAATATTAAATCTTGAATCGTTTAATGTTTTATTAGTTTAGTCACGTAGGTATGCATTTTTTGTTCTTATACTACAGAGTATCTGCATGACTGCATACGCAACTGAAGAAGGACCACTAGAGACCAATCTAATACATGCACGAGACACATTACAATATTTGAATCGCAAAGTACTAGTTCACCTCACATTCCTCTACGACTCAGGCACTGGCAGAAAAATACCAGAACTTGTTTACCCTTTTAAAATTTAGTTCAAAAGTAAGAAATTAAGTGATAAAACATTTCAACAATCCCTTCCACAGAAGCAAAGTAAACTTTGCAACAAAAGAACAGGCAAAAACTGATTGAAAACTTTTGCGTAATACTGAGCGCTCAAAAACTGGTGGCGCTGCTGCATATGGCGCAACGAAAGCAATTCAATATTTATTCAAAACAAATAAATTAAATCTGATCTTCACTTGTTATTTTTTGCAGTTTAAAACACAGTTCATGATTTTCCGGAAGAAGAAAAAGGAAACACTTCTCCTGATACCACCCAAATGGTGCAAAACCCGGGTATGCGAGCAAACCTATTTATTAAAAAAATGAAGCGGAGCTTCATTACTGTCTCGTGTTTCCTGCCATTCAGAGTTCTCCTCATTCACTATAAGAAATTACCTCTTGTGTATGAAAACGCATCAAGAAGCCTCCTTACAAAGAACGGTATCAGCTGAGAAACTCATCCCTAAGTAAGATTATGCGCTCAATTTCACCCGCCACAAGCAACGGTTCCCGTAAACTATTCATACTCGTAATTCACCAAGAGCGAATTTGCTAGCAGTAAACGCTTTTTTAAATCTAAACTTAATAAATTACTCCGCGGAAAATAAATAGGCACGAGTTTTCGCAATGTATTTAAATCAACACGGTTAACTTCTTCAGAGAGTGGAAACAGCCGCAGGAAAAGGAAAATTTTAATTTGTAGAGAAAGTTGAAAACTGAATTTAGCATCCTATATTTGTCAAACGATGACCTACTTTTCAGAGTTGTAAACAATGGTACAAGAAACTGTCTTTGACTAAAATGTATTTGCAATGCAGATGGTTACGTGTCGGCTGTGGCCGAGCGTGCTTTTATTATACAGGGACTGGTCGATTAAATACGGGAAGATTAGTATAACATCAGACGCAAAGTGCATTATTTTAAATGATATTAATAACATTTCTTATATATACTGGTATACAGTGTCAGCAGAAACACAGACGTAATGTTTTAAATCCTGTTATTGACAATAATACCACCTCTCTATTTCGAAATAACGATTCAAATTCCAAATTAAAACTAGGTAACTGTTGTCTCTATTTTAAATGTACAACACTACCTTTCATTTAACAAACTTCGCTTAAAGTTTTGTGCTGAAAAACTATTATATTACACGAGAAAAATACAATTTTTCAGTGGTCCAATTTTCATGCAATTTCACCCATTCTAATTCCAAAAGACCAATAAAAATGCAATCAAAGACACCCATGGATTTTTGAAAATTTCTCTTTCATAGAATTTTCGTTGTGTCAAATTACCGTCAATTTTAAAGCTTGAGTAGAAAATG